CTTGCTTCTTCTTCTTTAATTTCTGGGAGAAGCTCGCGCGCGCCTTCGGCGGCCTGCCTGCGAGCTTCGCCTTGGCCGCGCCTCTGCTGAGGTGCTCGAGCGAGGTCTCGCCGCCAGTCTTGGCTTTATCGCGCTGCCACTTGCGAGCGCGCTTGCCCAGGAACTGGCCCGCGAACATGGACGCCCTCCGGTTCTTGCGTTTAGCTGTCCGTTTATGCTTGATTCTGTTCTCGAGGGCGCGCGGGAACTTCATCTCTCTGATCCGCTCCTCTGGGCGTTTTGAGCACGTTCGGCTGCTCGCCGGTGAGCTCGAGGCTCCGCTCTCGGCGCTCCAGGAGCAGGGGTTCTCGCCCTGCCTGTAGCCCCACGGCAAGTCGTCGTTGTGGAAGCAGTTGCCGTCGAGGACGCTCGACTCGCGCGCGGGCGGCGCGCCCTTGGGCCAGCTCTGGATGCCTTCGAGGCGCTCTTTCGCCAGGCTGTTCTCGATGCCGCGGCCCTGGCTCGATGGAGTAGCTCGCCTTGCCCTGTCGGCCGGGCCGCGGTCATTTGGTTGGCTTGCATCCCTTGGAGAGGCACCGCGCCCTTGTTCTGCTCGCGGAAGCGGGCGTAGGCCTCGGAGACGCAGTAGAGGCACTCGTAGGGCCCCCATTGCGTCGGGGACTTGTAGTACCCCTGGCCTTTTGGATCCAGTCTTGGTCCATGGCCTGGCGCAGATCGGCCTTGACCTCCCGGATTCCGGCCTCGAGCTGGCCGTGCTCGCGGGCGTCGCGTTCGCGCAAAAAGCTCGCGACGTCGGGGCCACGGGCGCGTGGATGATATTCTCGAGCCACGCTCGGAGCGCCACTGCCTCGGCCCACTGGCTCGAGAGGAAGTCTGCGAACACGAGGCTATGGTCGTGCTCCTGCTCGATGAACTCGATGGCCCAGCTTGCCGCCAGCTCGTCCGCCCAGGCTCTCGGCTGCCCCGACACGTCGATGGCCTCGAAGACCCTCGCGCGGCCCGCCTCGAAGCAATCGAGCAGAGCGTTGCGCCAGCATGTGAGTCGCGTTCCTGGGCGCTCGCCCAATCGGAAGCGCCCCGCCTCGCCATCGTTCCGCTCGTAGGCGACGTCGCGCCGCCACGTGCATCCTCGAGGTTCACGTCGCTGACTCGGCAGCGCCTTGCGCGGGGGACTAGGGGCGCGCTGCGTTTCTTGGCGGATTTCGGCACCCTGCTCTGGCCGAGCCAGTTCTCGACAGCGGAGATGTTGATGGGGGTGATCCTGTGCATGTCCCCATGCGCTCGAATAGGCCTGCCCCACTTGCGCATTGGGCTCGGGGTGCTCTGTCAAGTACGTGGCCTTCTCCGTTTCGAAGACTTCCTTGTCCTGCTCGTTGCGCGTCTCGCGGCAATTTTAGCGGAGGTTGTCGATGCGTGTCTTGGCGCTTGCGGCGTGGACCTTTGCGGACAGCCTGTTGGGCATTCGAGATTTTCTCTCCGTGCCCATTTCGCTTGCGCCGAGACGTCACTGTCGCGGCCGCGCGCCGTCTCCTCGCCCCGGAGCTTGCGCCAGGGCGCGGCGGCGTCGACGACAACCGCGCTCGCGCTGGCCTTGCGCTGGGCGAAGCTCTCGGGGCCCCCGACGAAGAGGCCGAGGTCCTCGGAGCCGCCCCTCGCCACCAGGGGCACGAACTTTGTGGGAGTCGTAGTAGTAGTAGTAGTAGTAGTAGTAGTAGTAGTAGTAGTAGTAGTAGTAGTAGTAGTAGTAGTAGTAGTAGTAGTAGTAGTAGTAGTAGTAGTAGTAGTAGTAGTAGTAGTCGTAGTAGTAGTAGTAGTAGTAGTAGTAGTAGTAGTAGTAGTAGTAGTAGTAGTAGTAGTAGTAGTAGTAGTAGTAGTAGTAGTAGTAGTAGTAGTAGTAGTAGTAGTAGTAGTAGTAGTAGTAGTAGTTAGTTAGTAGTAGTAGTAGTAGTAGTAGTAGTAGTAGTAGTAGTAGTCGTAGTAGTAGTAGTAGTAGTAGTAGTAGTAGTAGTAGTAGTAGTAGTAGTAGTAGTAGTAGTAGTAGTAGTAGTAGTAGTAGTAGTAGTAGTAGTAGTAGTAGTAGTAGTAGTAGTAGTAGTAGTAGTAGTAGTAGTAGTAGTAGTAGTAGTAGTAGTAGTAGTAGTAGTAGTAGTAGTAGTAGTAGTAGTAGTAGTAGTAGTAGTAGTAGTAGTGGTAGTAGTAGTAGTAATAGTAATAGTTTCTCGTTCGTCGTAGTGGCAGTGGCACTGCTACCGCGACTAATAGTAGTAGTTACCTGTCGTAGTACCTGGTCGTAGTAGTAGTACCTGGTAGTAGTAGTAGTAGTAGTAGTAGTAGTAGTAGTAGAAGTAGAAGTAGTACTCGTAGTCGTAGTAGTAGCAGTAGTAGTAGTAGTAGTAGTAGTAGTCGTAGTAGTAGTAGTAGTACTAGTAGTAGTAGTAGTAGTCGTAGTCGTAGTAGTAGTAGTAGTAGTAGTAGTAGTAGCAGTACCTGGTAGGAGTAG